CTCAGCAGGCATATTGGACGGTAGTTTCGAAGAGCTATTACCCTTCTTGATTGTTCGGGAGGTTCTCCATTGGTCGAGGATTTTTCCTTTTGAAGGTAGGACGTTAGATGTTCTGCAAGTATCTCGTGTAGGCGATGTCCTCCAGTTCGTAAGAGGTCGACCGAAACATGATGCGGTCCCGGAGCCGTGGCTGCTTTCATGGTCTGGATTGCGGCGCAAACTTCAGCTAGAACTCGTGGTGGTATTTCTCTAGTGGGGATAACGGGGTTTGACACCATTGCTGACGAGCGAAAGAAATTCTCCTTCCTTGTGCTGCTTCTAAGAGTTTTGATCGTCTGTACTTTCGGAGATCTTCAGAGATGGTCTGCAACTGATATTGGCTACCAGTCGCTCGAAATTTGTTGCAGTCGGATATAACCTCAGTGCTCTTCTCCTCTCTAGCAGACACTTGGTGGCCTTCGAAATTCGTTCCAAGTTCCTTGTGCGAGGCATTGAGGCGCTTTCTTACAGGCTCTCAGTCCCCTAGAAGCAGTTCGTAGTCTTTTGTCGGGTCCTCCTCGAAGGGCCAACACAAGTGGTAAGGAGCTCCTCCAATCTGACGCCGTCATATACGACTTCTCTCCTTCCTCCAACACAGTGGCAGACCTTCTTTTCCAGCTTTCGGCTGGATTGCACTTTTGCTCGAAGGAGGCGGTGATCTGAGCCACTACTGAAGGATGGTACCATTGAGAGTCCAGTAAGCACCACCTTCGGTTGGTGAGAATGCGGTCGGTCTCCTCATGAGTCGTACCATTGGGTGATTCCCACGTCCACCGCCGGCTTTCTTTTTTTCATGAAGATGGAGTTGCCATGAAAAAGTCGTGCGGCGGATAAGAGCCCAACAAAACGGTTGCCGTTCTCATTCCGGAGCCGTGTTCCAAATCTCCCGATCCTATGCTCCCCTTCTTCTAAAATCCCAATTTTTGCGTTGAAGTTACCCACGACGAACATGTAAGAGGACTTCTCTTTGCAGATGACTTCTTCCAATCCCTCATAAAAAGCATCAAGCTCCGAGTTATCAGCTGCTGATGTTGGAGAGTAGCAGTTAATGATAGTAATGGCTTTCTGATGCAGAGGAC